GACCTCCTGGGCTGACATAGTATGTGATATTTACACATAATGTGTGATGATTACCATAATAAGGTAGCTTCACAGTACTGTATTGTGTATGTAAATGTTGCTAAAAGAGTAGATCTCCAAAGTTCTTATCTTGAGAAAAAAAGACTGAGTGCTATGTTTTAGATGCTGGGTGACCTGGTTCGCACTTACCTCTCTGGGCTCAGTTTTCACCCCTCCCCCACACTCCATGGACCAGCCCGGTGACCGGAACACCCTCTCCTGCGTTGTCATAGACTGCCTCTGCCACTTGCCTGGTCGGCTCACACCCATTCTTTGGGCTTCAGTGTCTCTTTCTCTGAGAAGTTTTCCCTGATCTCTCAACACTGGGTTGGGTGCCTTCTTTACATATTTCTCTCTCTCTTTTTTTGGCCACATGGCTTGCAGGATCTTACTTCGCTTACCAGGGATTGAACCCCAGGTCCTCAGCAGTGAAACCACACAGTCCTAACCACCGGATCACCAGGAAGTTCCCCTCTTTACATGTTTCAACAGCATCTTCTCTGTCCTGTCCTGCAGCCCCCATACTGGATGGAAGTGCCTTCTCAAGGGCCTTCCCCTCTGATTCAGCTGTGAGCTTCTAAGGCATGATGCTTTGCTCCTGGGTGTATCTCCAGTGCTCAGCGCAGTGCCACTGACACAGTTGGTGCTGAATATTTATTTGTGAAATGACCGAATTCGTGAATGAAAGCACTCAGGGCTCCTATCTTCAGGCCAGGAGTCACAGGATTACTTCTGAACCTTCCTGACTTACAGGCAGGAGCTTGATAAGCTCCTGAAATGAAAGCTGGACTTTCATTGCTCCCCGAAGATTGGGCTGCTCCAAACAATTTGGTCTCTTATTCCAGAAATCTCTGATGGGACAAAATAGGGAGAAAAGACCAGGAGATGAGTCTTCAGTCCACAGAGTCTCTTTAGAAACCTTGAGGAGTCATTGTTACTCATTTCCAATAAAAAATAATCAAGATTTCGTGACGTGAGAATTGTCATAAAGGCAGAGTCTAGTGGAGGAGCTCTGGGCAGGGGACACCAGCTGATGAGCTGTCCCTTCCCCCAGCCTGCCTGCCTCCGTCTCTACCCGACCATTTCCAGGTTGAGCAGACCCTGCACTTTTGATTCTTCCAGTTTTTATAGACACGATAAGGTATGGCTTTAAATTTACTTTCTCCCACAGAAGCTAATTTAATATTTGGAGAGAACCAGAGCCAAGGCCAGCCCTGGATGGCTGTTATTTATATGATCATAAAAAAGAAAGATCCAGCTCCTGATGTTACTAAATTGTCTTTGGGAAAGGAGCTGAGAGGGTGCTGAGATGAGCCTCTGCCATGGTGGGGATCAAATGAAATTGTCTCCAAGTCATCTCAGTTTGTGGGGCCTGGAGCCTGGGCAGGCCAAGAGGGGCCCCTCTGCCTGCCCCAGGAGCCTCTACGTGACCTGGCTTCCTCGGCAGGGGCAGAAGCAGCTTTGCTCCTTTGAGGCTGTCTCTCTACAGACAGTTTGGGCTAGGAATAGCTTCTTTTTATTGTTATGATCGAGCTGTATCACACTCCCGAGGAGCAGGCACAGTAATTGCATTACGGCTGCTGTACTGTCTGTCTTTGCCTGAGGGACGGGGAACGAATCAGCTTTTCTTAATTGTTACCTGTGGGGTAATCTCTGCTACCTGAGCTGCCATCTCCCTGCTTTGGGTGCAGAAACAGGCTGTGGGTTCTTATGCTGCCCCTCGGGTGATGAGAAGTCTGAGAGCAGGAAGAGAAATGCACTCAGGAGGGAAGATCACTGCGAAACTTCCTGTCCAGCTCAGAGCCTGTCCTTGCAGCTTCACTGAGGGTGATGAGGTGCAGCCAGCTCTCTCCCTTCAGGAGTAGTGTTTTAGAGAGTCACTGTCAACACTGAACTAGCAAATACCGGACCATTCCTCCAACGGGGTGTTCAGGGTTAGCTTCCTGCGAGCCTCTGGTCACAATGTTGCTGTCAACTAATTAGTCCATAAGCTTGTTCTGACTTCCCAGGTGGCACTAGTGGTAAAGAACCTGCTTGACGATTTAAGAGACGTGGATTTGATCCCTGGGTTGGGAAGATCCCCTGGAGGAGAAAATGGCAACCCACTCCAGTATTCTTGCCTGGAGAATCCCATGGACAGAGGAGCCTGGTGAGCTATAAGTCCTTAGGGTGGCAGAGTCGGCCACAACGGAAGAGGCTTAGCACTAGCAAGCTTGTTTTATGTGTTTCTGTTTAAAGAGACTTTAAGAAAAGAATTTTATTTATTTATTTGTTTTATTTTTCGTCTAGGCTGGATCTTCAGTGCTGCTCGGGCTTTCTCTAGTGGCCAGGAGTGGAGGCTACCCTCAAGTTGAGTGGGATCTTCCTGGGCCAGGGACGGAAGCTGTGTCTTCGGCATTGGCAGGTGGACTCTTTACCACTGAGCCACCAGGGAAGCCCCTAGAGACTACGTAATACGAAGTTTTGATTCACTAACATTGGATTCGTAGCCACCAGGCTTCATGTTTGGGCAAGGGTTATTTTACATATAAGACATATCACAGCCTTTTGGTGCTTAGGGACATCAGACAGCACTTTGGGACTGTGCTGGGGGCGCATCTTAAGCAGCAAAATCATCTTGAAAGAGCCCCTGAATATGAACAACGTGGCACTCAGTAGGCTGTAGGTGAGAGTTGAAATGAGACAAAGCATCGTCTTCCCCCAGCTCAGCTGGGAACATGTCCACTGAGTGACTCAAATGTTTTGCAGCTCTGTGCCTGTCCACAAAGGACCCCCAAAGCCCCACACGTATTGTTTTTGAGGTTACAAACACAGTTTAAGCGAACAGGTGAACTTGCAAATCCAGAGCCTGTGAGTGATGAGGAGTGACTGTAATTGGAGTCATGACTCAGCTTCCTCTCGTGCATTCCTGCCTCATCTCTGCACCCGGTCCTGGCCCCAGAGGATTCCAGGCCGCCTCCCCTGGGCCCCTAGGCCCCTGGCTCTGGTTCTAGGCCTGCATTCTGCTTTGTTATTCCCAAGAGCAAACCAGACCTCCAGGGTTGGAACCCGATTGCATAAGCACGTCTCCTTGTTTAGTTCTCGTGTCTGGAAAGTGTTGGTCCCAGGAGGACCTTGGCCTTGCCTTGGCCAGTCTTCCTTGAGGCCTGGAGTGGTGGCCTGAAGTGAGGCTGAACATGTGAGACCAAGCAGTCGACTGTAGGTTTCACTGACCGGTGGAGCCCTTCTCATACCACCCAGAGGCCACGGAGTGTGAGCACCGTCTGCAGGGCACCATGGTGAAAAGACACGGCCCCGCCCTCAAGGTGCTCACAGCCCGAAAGCCGAGGCCAAAGGATGGTTAAAATGAAGTGAATGAGGTGGTACCTGCTGCCATCCGCCAAAATGCTCTGCCGTCTGCATACTTTCCACCCAAGTCCCTTTGTGGACCTGTCCCCCAGACACTTCCGGTAGCACAAATCATGCTGTTGTTGCTGTCTTAAAACATGCTTTTTTCTTCCCATTTTTCTTCTTTGCTTCTTGGCGCCTGCACAACTGCCTAAACCTGAATGAATCCCTGCCCCATTTCCCGTCGGTTCCTGTATCCTGTGAACCCACTTCCTGTCTACACCACTTCCACCACCCTGTGTGACAGCAAGAACGTTGCACTCTGCTTGCCGCAGACCAACCAGAGAAAGACATTTAAAATGCAAATGAGTCCAGATCCATAATCAATAGAACGTTATATGGAAAATTCTAAAGGGTGACATCTCAACGAACAAAGAGACTATTGATGTTTTACTGCTTCAGTCAAATACTTAGACCCTTTAATGGATCCTAAATGTTTCACATGGCACTGCTGTGACCTCTTTAAAATGTGTCATTCTTTTTAATAAGGGCATTTCTGTAAGTATCGTTAGTTTTGGAGATCCTTTTATAAGGTGACTGAGTTAAAAAGAACATGAATACTTCTTTCAAAATAAACTGTAATGCACTGATATGCCTTATATTTTATTGTAATCTACATTTTTATAAGATTGCAAAGATCTTTTTCAGTGTGTTTGTATCTAATATAAAGAATGCCATTTTTTTAAGGCACTTCATGTGTTTTCTCACTGAATTCTTACAACCTCAAGAGGTGTATGGATGAGTCAACAGAGGATCAGAGAGGTTAAGTACCAAGTACAAAATTACCCAGCTGCTTGAAGGTGGAATCCACATCCACACAGCTGTCAGAAAAAAAGTGTCAGGGTTCCTTTGGGAATGATGACTTGAAGGTGAGAGCACTCGAGTCCTGCAGAGCTGCCCTTTATTCCATGGGAATGAGGTTCAACCTCAAAGTTTTGCATGGTTTGCTAGCATTGTATTGGGCTTCCCAGGTGGTTCAGTGCTAAAGACTCTGCCTGCCAATGCCTGAGACACAAAAGACACAGTTTAAATCCCTGAGTCGGGAAGATCCCCTGGAGGAGGAAAATGGCAACCCACTCCAGTATTCTTACCTGAAAAATTCCATGGACAAGAGGAACCTGGTGGGCTACAGTCCATGGGGTCACAAAGAGTAGGACACGATTGAGCACACACACAGCATTCATTGCGTCATTCGGCAGTTCACTGGAGAAGCAGAATCAGTAGGATACACACACACACACACACATATTTATAGACACATACAGATATAGAAACCCACCCACATATAGATATATAGTATTCAGTATGTATACTCATGCATCATATATATAGTGTATATGTGTATATAGGTTATATGTGTATAGATACTATATATATATGTGGTTGTCTATCTATCTATAAATTTATTACAAAGAATTGGCTTATGTGATTGGCTGGCTAAGAAGAATCCAAAACTCGGTAGGGCGGGAAGTCAGAATGGGAATATTATCTTCAGGCTGAAACCCACAGGCATGGGCTGCAGCTCTCATCCACAGAGGCACCTCTTCTTGCCTTGGGGAGACCTCAGCCTCGCTTCAGGCCTTCCTTCCCACTGGTTTGGTCATCCCCCCTTTCCCTCCCCGACACAGTTCATCCAGGACAAACTCCTTTACCGCAAGGCAGCTGTTTGGGGTTTTGACGACATCTGCGCGATGCTCACGCTGACCCAGGGGCTCGAGTTTGGCTGGATACCTGGGACTCTGGCCCAGCCACCTGGTACACACAAAGCCCTCTCCGGCGTCCAGTGGTGGCTCCTCCGGAGCAATGATGATGGGCTGCCCTGGCAGGGGCCTTCGCTTTTGAAGTTTGTCATTTTGGCTGTAAGGGCCGCTGCCTTGCCTCTGACTCCGATCTAACCCAGTGGTAGCCCGCCGGGGCGACTTTGTTCCCTCCCAGGGGTGTCTGGCAACGCCTGGAACATTTGTGGTTGTCACAGCTGGGGTGATGTTGCTCTCATCTCCACGGTAGAGCCTAGGGACGCTGCTTAATGCACAGGCCAGCTGCTTAAAACAGAGATTGGCCAGCTTCAAATGCCAATAGCATCTGGGCTGAGTAACCTGCTCTAACCAAGGGAGTCTGTGAAATTCAAGGGCCTCCTATGTGGACTGTGCTGAAAATGCACAGACCTAACCAATCCTTACAGATCTAGGATGCTTAAAATTGCTTTTTAAAATTTTATTGGTGTAGATAATTAAAAAATTTTTAATTGGAGAACAATTGCTTTAGAATGCTCTGTTGGTTTCTGCTGTATAGCAACTGGAATCAGCCGTAAATACACATGCGGCCCCTCCCTGCTGAGCCTCTCTCCCACCCGCCCGTCCAGGTCGTCACAGAGCACCCAGCAGGGCTCCCCGTGCTATAGAGCAGCTCCCCATTAGCCGTTTGTTTTACAAGCACAGAGTATGTGTCAGTTACTCTCTCAGCTCGTTTCCCCCGCCCCTTCCCGCTCTGGGTCCACAAGTCTATTCTCCACATCTGCATCTCTGTTCCTACCCAGCAAATAGGTTCATTGGAAGCATTTTTCTAGATTCCATATATATGCAGTAATATACAATATTTGTTTTTCTCTTTCTGACTTACTTCACTATAACAGGCTCGAGGTTCATCTGCCTCAGTTCAACTGACTCAGATTCATTCCTTTTTATTCCCCAGTAATATTCCAGTGTGTATATGCACCACATCTTCTTTATCCATTCATCTGTTGATGAACATCTGGGTGCTTCCACGTAATGACTACTGTAAATAGTGCTGCAATGAACGCTGGGGTATGTGTGTCTTTTTGAATTATGATTTTCTCAGAGTACATGCTCAGGAGTGGGATTGCTAGATTATATGGCAGTTCTATTTTTAGTTTTTAAAGGAATCTCCATACTCTTCTGCACAGTGTCTGTATCAATTTACATTCCTACTAACTGTGCCAGTGGGTTCCCTTTTCTTCACATTCTCTCCAGTATTGTTTGTAGAATTTTTGATAATGGCAGTTCTGAACTGTGTGAGGTGATACGTCATTGAGGTTTTGATCTACATTTTACAGATGAGGAACTAAAAGCCCAGACCTCTTTATTGCCCACAGCTTTGGTACTCGTAAGTGGAGAGGCCAGGATTTGAACCCGAGTTTCTCTGAACCCCAAGCCTGCTTTTTTCTCTACCACTTACTCTGATGGCTGTTGCCCTATTGATTTTCTCCTGCATCTGGGGACGATGACCTATGGTCCTGCCTTTCGCAGGCTGCCTCGAAGTCATAGTTCATGTCTTAGGGCTGATGTCAGAGGTGAGATGAAACACTCCAGGGAGGGCTTTTATCACAGTGGTTAAGAGCCTCTCACGTGAGGCAGAGGGTCCTGGGTGTGGTTCCTACCCTGAGGCTGGACCAGTTGGTCAATCTCACTGAAAGGCCATTCTTCAACGCAAAACCATTTGGAACCATTGGTTCCAAAAAGGGAACCATTTGGAGTTCCTTCTGCCAGATGTAAACAAGAATATGCATGGAAGACCTTTAATACAGGGTACACAGTAAGTTCTGATAAAAGCAATAACTTTTGAGCATCTAAGCTAGTCTGACAGGAGAAGGAAATGGCAAGAATCCCATGGACAGAAGAGCCTGGTGGGCTCCCCTCAATGGGGTCACACAGAGTTGGACACGACTGAAGCGACTTAGCATGCATGCATGCGTTGGAGAAGGAAATGGCAACCCACTCCAGTATTCTTGCCTGGAGAATCCCAGGGAGAGCAGAGCCTGGTGGGCTCCTGTCTATGGGGTCACACAGAGTCGGACATGACTGAAGTGACTTAGCAGCAGCAAGCTAGTCTGACACTCACTTTCCAAGAAGGATTCAACAGCTTAGGTTTTGCCATTTTCAAATCTCTCTGCAGCTTCGGCCAAATGTAAACCCTGGGATTACCTGCCCTCACCCCTCTGAGATCTCTCAGCCCTGTGGACCTGGTCAGCAAAACTCCCACACAAAATTATGTCTGTACATTCCAAAAATTCAGGCAATGTGATATTTCTGCTCTTTGGGCAAGATTGGGGTTGTGAAAAATATGTTAATACCTTGAGCAATTTCTTCAATTTTTTTTTTTGGAACAAGACAGGAAGAAAAATAAAAACAAAATCACACACACACACACACACACACAAATTAAAACAAACTTTTCACCACAAAAAATGCTGCTGCTAAGTGCTGATAAGAAATAGCATCTTAAAATTGTCTGACATTTCTTTTGTCAGAGATGCCTTTCAAATAGTCTTTGGGCAAAATTCCCTTTATCTTGTTAGCATTAGAAGTAGAACATTTAGCTTATAGAGTTGCTTTCAGGTTACCAAATAGTCTGCATCGTCATCTCATTTGAGTCTAACAATGGAGCAGATTAGGATAATTTGTGGGCACTGTGTGGCAGATCTGTGTGCGGCCTGAGTAGGTCCTTGGCCTGCTGTGGCCCAGAGCCAAGCTGCCTCAGTGAGGATGATACAGTGAGGTGTGTGTTCTGAGAGCGGACCCTGAAGAGGGGTCTGAGATCAGGCTCAGGGAGGTGTGAGCATGTGCGGCCCCGGGGTCTGGGGAGTCAAAGAGGTTTGAGCTGAACCCTGAACAGATGTGATTTGTGAGGCAGAGGATGTGATGGAGGGTGAGAAGGAAAGTGCTTTAGGCAAAGGCAACAGCTCGGACACTAGTGTGAAGGCTGTATCCGCCCTGCTGGGGCTGCCCCACCAGCTTAGCACGGCTGCGGGTGCCTGGTGAGGCAGGAGATGAGAGCCAGGTGGCTGGCCAGCGCCAGCCTGGGCAGGTCCTAAAGCCCTGCTGAAGGATTTTTAGTTTTTTGGAAGGCAGTGGAAAGGCAGTGAAGCTTCTCTGCAGAGGCGTGATGGAGAGAGGCGGCTGTGAAGAGGAGCCCTCTGGGGTGATGGAGTGGACGTTGGAGGGGACAGAAGACCCCGTAGATGTGGCGGATCACCATGTCGCACGCACTTCTCTTTGCATTCTGTCCCTCTGCACTTCCAGCCACTGGCCGTCTTCTTTTCATCCCATCTCTAAGACTCCCTGTTTGCTCTGCAGAAATACAGGTTCTTTTCCTTCCTCACTGAAGTCGCTAAAGGGCCTCTGAGTTGAGAAACACCACTCCCGCGCCCACCCCAAAGGCGGGATGTTTTTCTCCTGCAGAGAGAAACTGCTGACGTGTCACACACAGCCTGAAAAAGCAAAGCCTGATGGCTCCCGAGGAGATGCTGAGAGGTGCCTTTGTTCATGTTTCTTTCTTCTTCTCTGAATGTGGCAGGAGCTCAAAGTGACACTGGCCTATCCTAGGCTTGTGGCCCCACGCAGTCTCTCTGGATGGACACTGTACCCTCCCCTCTGCAGGTTCCTCTGCCCAGGGGCCCTCTGATGCCACAGAACCAGAAGGGGTCCACTCATGGCCGTGGCAGTGGGGCTCTCCGTCTACTTTGCATGTTGGCGAGGACCTCACAGAAGGAGAGAAGGAGGCGTCTCAAGACCAGAAGTCTGTGTGTATGTGTGTGTGTGTGTGTGTGTGTGCGCGCACACACGCGTGTGCACAGGCGGCCGTGCACGCATCTCTCCAGGTGAAACTGTGTGTCTGTGAAGCAGTGTGCAGAGTGGATGGAGCAGAGACTGGCATCAGATTCCCTGGGTTTGCATCCTGGTTCTGCCCCTGGTTCTGCCCCTTACTTGGTGTTGATATTGCAGTGAGTTAGTTAGTTAGCCTCACCATCCCTCAGTTTTCTCATCTGTGAAATAGGGATAACAATCACACTAAGATCACAAGGTTCATAGGTCTGTAGTGCATACCTGCACTTGATAAGAGCCTGCCTTCCTCCCCTATGTGCTCATATAGCCTGTGCCATTTCTGGTCATGCCCGTGGATGTGCACATCTGTACAAGAACTCGGTCTCAAGAGTCAGAGATGTGGTTTTGAATCCTGGTTTTTCTGTGGACTACTTGGGTGACTTTGGATAAGCTGCTTAATCCCTTCAAGCCTTGATTTCTACATGTGAACAATCAACCTGATGGTAGAACTATTAGGGAGCTGCTGTGGGCTTCCCAGGTAGCTAAATGGTAAAAAGTCTGTCTGCCAATACAGGAGATGCAGGAATTTGATCCCTGGGTCAGGGAGATCCCCTGGAGTAGGAACTAGCAACCCACTCCAGTATTCTTGCCTAGAGAATGATGTGGACATAGGAGCCTTGTGGACTACAGTCCATGGGGTCGTAAAGAGTTAGACACGACTGAGCAAACACACGTGGTGTTGCTGTAAGGATTACATATGATAATACAGGTAAACCATTAGGACAGTGCCTAGCTTAATAAAATCAGTTATTACCATTGTCATTATTGTTACGGTTGTTAATGTTTAGGTGTATTATTCTGCTTTATGTTGCTCATTCATTCAAGAACCACCTCTCTTTGTTTTATGTTCTCTTACTCTACCTACTGGAGGTGGTGCTTGGGACACAAGTAAATAGCGATTTATCTTTTCCTTTAAGTAATTCCATCATGGCCATCAACTCCATGGTAGACCTCTGTAGGAGGAATGATTTTCTGAATTTTCCAAAATAGAACATTGAGGTTGAGTGTTGGTATCGTCTAACTAATTGGAAATGAAACTAGAATCCAAACCCAAGACCTCTGACTACAGCTTCTTTCCCTGAAGACACATCTAGACTCATCCTAATGGGCTGCAATTATAAAGGATTTTGCAGTTTATGAAAGAATTTAAAATGTATGGTCTTAGTTTTGTGTCTTTGTCAAGAGTCTTGGTGAATTAGTCAGGATATGTATTGCTCATCTTTCTTACAGATGAGGTTGCTGGGCCATAAGGGATGAATATTGTCCAGGTTTCGCAGTTGGCAGAGAAGGGTACGAGGAAATAAGCCAGGATTCTGCATGTGCTGCCTCCTTATGGGGTGAATTGTCCAATGGTCTCCTCTTGAGTCCTGGAACCTGTTCCTGATGCTTAGCTATGAGTCTCCCCCACAGTTCCCTTG